TGGGCATCTTTCATGGGAACTGCTCGGCAGCTCTGCGCTACAGGCAGGACATGAGCTGTGAGCCAAGGCGCTCCTGGACAGAAAGGAATCCAGCTGGATTTCCAGCCAGCAGCCAAGGAAAGCAGCAGCCACTCGATTTCAAAGCTGAGAGTGTTAAGTGACGTGGAGCACCACGGCACCACCATGGAGATCCATGTGGGAAACCAATTCCTGCTGTGTTTCTGCTAGGAATGCTGTGGACAGACAGACTTAACCCTCTCACTGCTCCTATCTCAAAAATATCTATTTGCTACTGTGTTTTAAAGATACTGGATTAAATCTAGGCTTGGGATAAACAGCAAAAAAAAAGCCTCACATGGATCAGAGGGAAAGGGGCAGAGGTTTTCACCCTCTTTTCCTAACATTCCCTCATTTCATGTGTGGATAGCTGCCTTAGAAGGAAAGGCACCAACACCTTTATCCTTAGATGTTTCTCTCTGCCACTAAAAAAGGCTTCACCTGGCAACACAGGGGTCCTACTCACCCAACAAGGTGTCATTAACCAGCTCCTAAGATGATTAGTCAAGGACTTTGTGCTACCAAGATCCACTGGGACCTGGTTGGGAAAGCTGACCCTGCTCCCACAGCGCCGCAGCACAGCCTCCTTCCCAGTAAAACCTGGGATATCCAAAATTAGATCACCACTTATTAGGCAATAAGTTGGTTTGCCCATTTATTGCCTTGGGCTGGGTTGAGCTGAGCTCTTCCCCAAGGCTTTACACACCAAACGTGGCAAGTGGCCAATCTAGAAAGGACCAACCCTGACAAAAAGAGAAGTGAAGTCACTTCAGTTCAGCTTGCCAGAGGCTAAAAAAACTTCCCAATACTTCCCAAAAAACTTCAAGGAACTGTGGGACAGGCAGGGCTGGGGACGATGGCGGTGACAGCAGGTGGCTTTACCTGACTTTGGGGGCCCAGGGGAGCCCCTTGGGGAAGGACACCCTCTCGATGGGCAGGCGCTGAGCTGGCATCGCGGGGATGATCGTGTCCCGCTCCATCAGGTCCAGCTCCCCCTCGATCCCGCTGTCCACGTCCTCGTTCTCCTCTTCATCAACCCCTCCTTCATCGTTCTTGAAGAGATCTCTCTCGTTGTAGATATCCAAACTGTCTTGCTTCATCAGGGGCTGCAGCAGAAGGGGAAGGAAAAACTCAACTCACTTCAAGGGTTTTATTTCCCTCTCAGATGCTGGCACCAGATCTCTCCATCCTGAAAGGATCAAGCTCTCAGATGTTCCTCAGGTGAGGATTTCCCTCCTAGCTGTTGCCACCAAAGCCTGCACAAGAATAATTCCTTCTGTACCTCTAACCTTGCTGCTCTAGGAGGTGCAACCCCATCTTCCACCTTAAATTTTGGGGCTTCCATCTGCCCTCTCTTCCTTATCAAAAGGCATTTTCATCCTCAGAACACAACACAGCAACGCCAAGAGCAGAGCTAAAAAAAGAACTTGCTGTGAGCAGTTTGTCCCTGGTGCTTATCAGCCCTTTGCCATAAGGTCAGGATGTCCTCTGGCTTCCTCTGGATCAAACACCCCACGGGGCTGATCTGTTGCAGTTGAAATTGGTGGATGAAAGACTGGACATGCTCCGACCATGTGTACGGAGAGCCCAGAATCCCCACCAGCCCTGGGCTGAGCCCAGTGGGCAGCAGGGGAGGGGAGGGATCCTGCCCCTGTGCTCAGGTGAGACCCCACCTGCAGAGCTGCCCCAGCCCTGGGGAGGAGAAGGATGCAGGGAGAGCTTCCAGCACATTCCAGGGCCTGAAGGGGCTCCAGGAGAGCTGCAGAGGGACTGGGGACAAGGATGGAGGGACAGGACACAGGGAATGGCTCCCACTGCCAGAGGGATGGATGGGATCTTGGGAATGAGGAATTCCTGGCTGGGCTGGGATTGCCAGAGCAGCTGGGGCTGCCCCTGGATCCCTGGAATGTCCAAGGAAAGGCTGGAGCAGCCTGAGATGGTGGGATTGGAATGGGATGGGATTTGAGGTCCTTTCCCACCCAAACCATTCCGGGATTCTGGGATCGAGGAGGCTCAGAATCCATCCCGAGGGATTTTTATGGAAGTTGGGGATGGAAAAGGGAAGGGAGACCCTTCCTGGAGTCCCAAGATTCCCAGTGAAGCCCCCGGATCCCAAAATTCCTTCCTGGAGCAGAGTCAGGGTGGGGATGGATCCAATGCCAGGCTGGGAGAGCTGGGAATGGAGGGAATTCCCTGGGAAAGGGAGATTGGAGTGGGATTTTGGGAATGAGGAATTCCTGTCTGGGCTGGAATTGCCAGAGCAGCTGGGGCTGCTCCTGAATCCCTGGCAGTGTCCAAGTCCAGCTTGGCTGGAGCTGTGAGAAACCTGATCTAATGGAAGGTGGCTTTTGAAACTGGATGGTCCTTAAGGTCCATTCCAACCCAAACAATTCCACGAACCTAAAACTGGAAAACACCGGAGCACTCGGGGTTAGAGGGGGAAGGAAACCATACCCAGGAGCACTCCTGGCTCCTCCCGGTGGTGCCTGCTGGAAACCCATCCCAAACCCATCCCAAACCCATCCCAAACCCATCCCGGCCAGGAGGACGCTCCCGCTCTCACCCTGCGGCTGCGGTGGCTCCGCTGCTTCTGCTGCTGCTGCTGCTGCTGCTCCACGAGCTCGATGGCGTAGGTGGGCGGGGAGGCCGCTCGCATCCCCCGCACCACCTGGATGCTGTCCTCGGGCAGGGGCGGCAGCCCCAGCTCCTCCCGCCGCCGCACCTTCATGGCCTGCAGCGCCTGGAACCCGCCCAGCGTGAACTGCGGATGGAGAGGGATGGATGGGAGAGCGCTCAGCCCACACCATCAACGGGGAGAAGCGAGATGAAGGCACCGCGGCACTCATTCCTTCTCCAGAGTCCTCCCCCACCCTCATCCTAGAAGGAATGTTTCCTTCTGTCAGCTCCCGGTGCCATCCTAAACATCCCCGGCATGGTTGGGTTGAATGGTGGGGAACATCCAGGCTGCAGCAGCGCTGTTCCAGAATAAAAGTTTCTGGAGCAAGGAAGGGTTTGCACTCACCAGGAGCACCTTCCAGAGCAGGAGCAGGACCTTCTTCATGGGGAAGTGCGGAGCGTGGCCGCTGCAGAACTTGGTCACCATGGTGAAGAGCAGCAGAGCAAAGGGCTCCTCAGTGTGCACAGGGAAACCTGCGGAGAAGGGACCAGGGCCGGGATCAGAGCCGATCCCCTGTCCCTGAGCTCTCCCCACTGTCCAGCACAACAAAGGGACCTCAGCAGGGCTCAGGGAACTTTGGGGCTCACTCAGCTCCATCCTGAAGGTCTCCCGGCAGGTTTTCCACTCGGGGGGATCCGTCTCCTGCTCCACACGGATGTTCTCCACCATCAGGTACATGACACTGAGCAGGACCCTGCCAGGACAGCACAGCAGGCAGGAGTGAGGCCACTGTGTCCCCAGAGGTTGTCCCACACCCCTCCCAGCGCTGAGGGGGTACCTGAGCTCCGTGCTGTCGGCCAGGGAGATGGCCGGTTTCCTCAGGGCGCTGCTGCAGGCCTGGCTGTTCCTGCAGGAGAGGGACGGGCTCACCACCAGACCCCTCATCCCCACCCCAACCCACGCCTGCAGTGCTGGGAATGCCACCCCGGGGCACCTCCTGAGGAGGAGGAGGATGGGGAGAAAGGAGGTGAAGAGGAGGGTGAGGAGGATTGAAGAAAAGTGTGAGGACGATGGGGTGAAAGAAAATGAAGAGGAGGAAGATGAGGAGAAAAGGGTGAGGAAGGTAGGGAGAAGGAAGATGAAAAGGAGGAAGTTGAGAAAGATGAGAAACATGAAGAGGAGGAAGAGGAAAAGGATGAGGAGAAAGAAGATGAAAAGAAGGAAGATGAGAAGATGAGACAGTGGAAGTTGAGAAAGATGAGAAACATGAAGAAGAGGAGAAGGAAGAGGAAAAGGATGAGGAGAAAGAAGATGAAAAGAAGGAAGGTGAGAAGATGAGACAGTGGAAGTAGAAGAGAATGAGGAGGATGGAAAAAGAAGGTGAGGAAAGTTGGGAGGAAGAGGATGAAGAGGAGGAGAGTAAATTGAATGGAAGAAAAGGAGAGAAAGCAGATCAGAGAATCACAGAATCATTTTGGTTGGGAAAGACCTCCAAGGCTATTGAGTCCAAGGAGGCGTGAGAAGAAAGAATGAAGTGAAGAAGAGGACAAGGAGGGAGAGGTGGGCAAGGGCAGCGCAGTCCTCTCACTCAATCTCCATGTTGAGAAGCTCCAGGAAGGCAGAGAAGGTTCCCAGCTGGTACAGGAGGAAGCTGTTGTGCCGAGACCAGTGCAGGACATCACCTTCATTATCACAGTCCCCGAAGACACCTGGAGAGGCCCCAAAGAAAAACACTGGTGAGGGATGATCTGCCTTTGAACCCCTGGAGTCCACAGGACCATCCCAGGCAGGAGCTTCACTGCACCAACATGGCACAACCCCGAGAAAGGCTTCTCCCAAAACCCCGTGGGAGCGGATCTGTGGTCACATCTGGCCATGGGGGACGTGTCCTTACCCTGTGCCAGGTACAGGATGGCCCGTGCTACTCTGAGCCTCTTGTCCCTGTTGACCACCTCCAGCCCATCCAGCAGGCGCATGACGTAGGCCTTCTGCTGAGCCCTGTCCAGCTCCAGCCACCTCCTGCCCGGCACTGGAAAAGGGACACGGCCTCCAGCCAGGGGCTGCCCTGGGGTCCCACTCTTGCCCCAGGCAAGGGGTGCTGAGCCCAGAGCTGGTACCTTGAGTGTGAAAATCCTCCTCGAAGCATCTCCTGTTGTGGCTCAGCTCAGGCTCCTCGGTGTAGCTGTACAGCTCTGGTGGAGACAGGGATCAGGAGGGACATGGAGGGGATTCACCCTCCTCCTCATTCCCAAATTCCTTGGGGAGCATGCCTGTGCACCCCGGCAGACACGGGACAGAGATCAAAACTGGTCTCTGAGCTCTCCTGCAGCTCCAAGGGCACCTTGTGGCCACCCAAAGCCACCAAACTCATCCCTGTGTCCTGGCTGGGCTGTTCCCAGCTGCATTTACAATTTCCTTGGGGTTTTTGAGGGGACATTTTAAGTCTCACTTAAGAGTTTGGGAATGAAGAGAATGCAGGAACACCCAGGCAGGACCTGCACTGATCCCCCACCCAGCAGCTCAGACATTTTGGGTCCTGCAAATAGGGGCTGGACGTGGAGGGACACGATGTTGCACCTGCTCTTTGAAATTCCTGCCTGTTCCCACAGAATTCCTACACGTTCCTATAGGATTCCTACCCGTTCCCAGAGAACCCAAACAGTCCTGAGGTGCTGAGCAGCACCGCGGAGGTGCAGGGAAGGAGGAAGGATCCCTCGCAGAGGAAATGTGGTTTTGCCAGGCCAGGTCGTGCGGCTGAGATACGCGGAGCTAAATATAACCCCATTTTCTCCGGACACGCTGGGACCGGGGGTTACGGAGCAGCTGGAGCACAGGGGACAAGGACAGAGCTCCTGATGGAGGGTGACACCTCCCACCCGGGCTCTGTCACCGGACACGCCGCCCTCCTGCCAGCCCTGGGTGATGGGGAGCGCGGGGTGTCCCCGTGTCCCCACGCGTCCCTTCTGCGTCCCCAGGGAGTGAGCGGCTCTCTAATAATAAACCCGCTTGACGGCACCACTCAATATCCATCCCCCATCCCGGCGGGATTTTCATTTTCCCTGCCTGCCGGGCACCTATAAATAACAACGCAGCGCCCAAACCTGCCTCACCTGCCAGCTCAGCGCTGTGGTCGTCGGCGTCCCCGTACTCAAATTCCAGGTTGGGACAATCCACGGAGCCCTGCGGGGAGCGGGATGGGGTTAGGAGGGGGCTGGCACATCGCCGGGGATATTTTGGGATGCGGGATGGCTGCCAGCACTCGCAGCCTTTGCGCTAAAGCCGCTCCAGAGCAGTGACTCGCAGGGATGGATCTCCCGGGCTGGAGCGGAGAGTCGGTGCGCGGCCGCTTAAAACACAGCGGAAACGTGGAAACCGTGTGTAAAAACAGCATTTCTCAAATCGCAGGGAAAGCAAAAACACGACACAAAACACCGGTGAATATTTGATGCATTTCAGAGCCCTAAAAACAAACCGCGGGGCCGGTTCAAAGCAAAAGCCCGCGGGAGGATGCTGCGGATCCCTGAGCTCCGTAGATCTGACAGCTCTCGGGGCCGGGCTTTGCCTTCCTCATCTCCCCCTCCTCCCCTGCGGATGAGGAACTGGAGCATGAAACTTGGCCGGAGGATTCCGGCGGGGCAGCGAACAGGCAGCCGCAGCCACACGACCCAAGGCCGGCACCGCGCCGCCCTGCCCCGGCTAAGGGAACACATGAATGGCTAATAAAGGAAAATTAACATAATTCCCCATGCCGAGTCTCAGCAGCTCTCCTCGGCAGCCGGGCTGGATCTGATGCGCATCGTGGAGATTAATATTGAAGAGCCAGGAGGATGCGCGGCTCCGGGATGAGCCCGACTTGCTCAGAAATGCTGTTTTCTCACCCAATTTCTGCAGCCCAGCCGGCGGGGCGGCTCGGGCGGTTAAAGCCGGCGAGGAATTCGTGCAGCCCTAATCCGCTTTGAGAGACCGAGCCAGGGGAGCAAAGCAAACCCCAAATTCACGAGTTGAGGGCACGACTTGGACACCGTTCCCAGGGACCCTTTTGGGGTTAGGGGGCTCCAGAGGTGGCTTTGCGGTGGCCGGGGACATCAGATCCCAGTGGGATCCTGGTGACCCGATGCCGGTCCTGCTTCCCCAGCCGCAGGGGCGCAGCTGGGGCAGAACAGCCCAGCGGGGTTTGGTGGTTCCCCCGCGCCCCGGGGTTATTGGGGCAGGAGGGGACAGCGGCACCTCGCTGAGGGGCAAAGGGGAACCTTGCAGAGTGTGGGGGAGCCCAGGGCCCAGACGGGTCCCCAAAACCTTTCTGCCGGCTCTGGGCGTGGGGCTGGGAGGTGCCAGTGCTGGGGCTGAGCCAGCACCCCAAAACTTTGCAGCTGGGTCTGGGCGTGGAGCGGGGAGGCGGCAGTGCCGTGGGGCGCCCCGGGGGACTCCCCGCTCCGGGCTGGGCACCGCAGGACCCCTAAAGCGTCCACTTTGGGCCAGGGAGTTCCCCCAGGAACCCCACTCCTGGATGAGGCTCCTTCTGCAGGAACCCCAGCCCCGGAGCAGGGACCCACTTACAGCACAGCAGGTGCCGGCGGAGCCCGGGGGGTGCCGGCAGCGAGCTCCGCGCTCTTACCTCGGATTCCTTGCGCTGGCTGCGGAAGAGCTCGCGGCCCTTGGGCTGAGGTTGTGGTTGTGGTTGTGGCTGTGGTTGTGGTTGTGATTGTGGTTGGGGTTGGGGCTGTCCCGGGCGGGCCCGGGTCGGGCCCGGGGCTCCGCCGCCTCCCGCCGCCTCCATCCCGCGGCCGCCGCCAGCACGTGGGGGCCGGCCCGGGCCACGCCCCGCCACGCCTATTGGTCCGCCGGGAGCGGGGGCGTGGCCTCAGGGCGCACCCCCGGCTCGCCATTGGTCCGGAGCGGGACGGGGCGGGGCCCGGGGGGATGCGGAGGGGACCGGGACCGGGGCTGGGGACGGACCGAGGGGTGTCCGTGGGGCTGCGGGAACGGGGGATGCTCGGCAAGGGATTGGAAGGATGTCCCTGCACTGCTGGGAGGGGGGAAGGAGGATTTGTAGGGTGTCCTTGGAGTCCACAATGCTGCCATGGGGGCGTTCTGGGGTGTCGGAGGTGCCCGTGGGGTAACGGGGGGGTGCCCATGGATGGGCAGGGGGCACCTGTGGGGCTGCAGCTGCCCCAGCACCGGCAGGGACGGGGACCTCGGCCAGCCCGGTTGTACGAGCCCCGCCGTCCCCGTTTTGGTGCCAGGCAGCTCCCGGGGCCCTGGCGCAGGATTTCCATTCCCACACCCGGTGAGGGCATCATGCGGATGTTTTTGGGGTGACTGCGCAGGTTTGTGGCCGGGGAGGTACCGAGTGCCCGATCTCGGTGCCCCTCATGTCCCACATCCCTTCAGAGCCTCTGGAGAGCTGGAAACCCCAAGGATCGGGTCGGAATTTGCCGCTCTGCAGCGGGGCAGGGCGGGAGCTGATAACGGGATTGTTCCAGAGGAGATAACGGCACCGGGATCGCTCCCACCGCTTCCCAAGGACACACCAGCCCCGGAGCCGCTTCCCAGCTGGAATTATCTGGAAATAGGAGCTCAAGGCTCTGGGGACAACCCCTCCCATCCCACCAGCATCCCTGATCCCTCCTTGTCCCCCTCCGCCCCAAAATCCCGGTCTGCCCCCGCCTGACCCCAAGGACGCTCAGGAGAGGCTGAGTTTTCCAATGTTTTATTTGTGTTTTGAGATTACAGAGTCTTTATTGCTGATCTAATACAATCACTCAGACATTAATATTTAAAACATCCTTCTGAAATGTTACGGTTGCGACGTTTTCGTTTCCTCACTGCTGATGACGAGTTTTGTCTTATTATCTCTAAAGTTCAGAACAGAATTAATTTCCTTTATGCGATTTTGCTGGTGTTACCTAAAATCTCCTTTTTCCTAAGTCTTGAAAAATGTGTTACATTAAAAAAAAAAAAGAAAAACCAAACCCCATTACACGTTTAATTTAGAGATGATCATAGGATATGATTCCAGGTTGATTAGGAAAAAAGCCAAGCGAGCCAAAAAGCTTTTACAGGAGAAGCAGAACATGGAGAAGAGCTTTAAAAATCGAGGTGGGAAAAGCCAGTTGGGATTTTAGTATTAATATATATATTTTTTTTTCCCTTCCTATCTACCTGGAAGATAAAAGGAGGTTAGAACGGGGCACGAAGGGATCTGGGGCTGTGCAGAGCAGGCACAGGGTGGGAGGCAGCTCTGGCCATGAGAGGGGTCAGGATGAAAGGGGCTTTTCCAGGGGGAAGTGGCTGTGCTTGGGTTGGGATGGGATTCCCGTTCTTCCCAAAGCTGCTCTGACCCCACAGCTGCATCTCCCCTGGGCCAGGAGCAGCTCCAGAAAACAGCAGGGGCTGCCAGACCAGGATCCAGCTTGGGGAGAAAGACTTGGGAGTGATGTTTCAAACAGCTCAGGGGATTCTTCCCAAAACATCTCAGGATATGGGTAAAATGAATGAGCAGAGATCATTTTGAGTCTGTGGTTAGCCATCAGTCTACTGGAAGCTTCTCGAAGCCTGAAGGTCTCCTCAAGGCCTTGGCAAAGCCCTGACGCCTTCCCAAGGCCTCTTCACGGTTTCCTCAAGCTCTTCTCAAGGTTTTCCTTCCTGATTTTGAGAGATTTCAAAGAGAAACTTGGAATAAGCTGGCACATGGGAAGGTTTGCGACTTGTGGCCAACCTGACTCCAAATCTCCTGAGAGCCGTGGGAAGGACGCGAGGCCGAAATTCCCCCGTTTTCCCTTCCTTGTGCGTGAACGAGCTGCCACAAAAAAGTTCTCCATGATAGCAAAGAAGCCCAGGAGGACAAAACACGGATCTGCAGCCGATGAGAGACTCGGGAGCCAACAGGGAGGACAGAGGCTTCTGTGCTCACGGGGCTGGGCAGTTTTATTTCAGCAGGATCGTGTTCTCCACGAGGGACGGGAGTGACTCCGCGCAGACAGCGGCACTTGGGACGTCACCTTGCTAAGGGTCACGCTGTCCTGGGATAAAACAGGGAACTCTGGCAAATTTATTCTCCATCAGCTCTGACACATCGAGGTGACCAAAGAGTTTCAGTGATGCCGAACTCTCCCCTGGCACAGAATCCGTGGGGGTCGCTCCGGCGGACGTCTCATCCATTCCGAAGGGGAATTCCAGATTCATACAAATATGAGCAGAAAATAAAACTCCGAACGTTTCCAATGAGAACTGAAATCCAGCTGGAGAAGAACCGGCTGAATGACGGGCGGCCGGGCGAGCTCTGCTTGGCGTGGCAGGAGCTGCCGGGCGCGTGAGCAGCATCGGTGGGCGAGGAGGCCCTTCCAGCGGCGCGGGCAGGGCGGGTTCCCTGCCCCTGCCCCGCCGGGAACACGACTTTGGTTGATCCAGAGAGGTTGGCACTGGGAACGACAGCAGCAGGAAAACGCCGCGGGGCTGTGGCCAGGGGGGCTCTCCCCGGGCCGGTGCTGACCCCTGGGCACAGCTCCGGGCGGTGCTAAGGCGAGGTTCCCTGGCTGGGCACGGCCCCGGGCACTTCCAGGGCACACGGAGAGGCTTCTCCACTCCTGAGGCAGCTCTGGCAGGGCAGCAGCACCCGCAGCCCACGAGGATTTTGGCTCCGTTGCCAAACCGCCGCAGATTCCCTGGGACTATTCCACGGCTCGATTCCAGCAGCTTCCTCCTCGCCTTCCCCCTCCTCCCAGCCCCGAAAAAGAACGAACCCAAAGAGGAAAATGAAAGGAACGGAAAAAAAATCCAGCGTCTCCCAGTCCCGCGGCAGGACGAACACCAGTGGCAGAGGCCACATGAACAGTATCCTAATTTAATAAATAAATAACCTAAAACACACTGTCGACTATGGCAGCAAGCCCGGCTCTAGCGTGGGAAGCTTGCGCGGTTTCATCCTGTACAGTAGTTGAGAAAGACTCGGGTGCTTGTCGCAGTTCCTGGTGATTCTCCGGGATGCGGCGGCAGGAACTCAGTATCTGGGAAAAGAAGGAAAAACGGGGCTTTGGTGAGCAGGGAAGGGATGAGGAGCTGCCCGGAGACGCCAAGGACAGAAATGGTTGAGGAAGGGACTCGGTGCTCGCCGCCCCCGAGGTGCCCACGGGGAGTTGGAGGGGTCGTGGCTCCCCCTCAGTGCAGGGAATTCCCGAGACCCTCAACGATCCCAACCTCTCCAGGACAAACCTCACTCCCAGCAAGGCACCAAAACCAGGCACAGGGAACTGAACCAGAGGGAATTCCTCCACAGCCTGGGGAAGCACCAGGATTTTGCAATGAAAAAAAAGCTCAGGATCTGGGAAAACCCAGTAATCCCCAAACTGGGAGTGCTCTGGTGCTCTCTGCCTGCCAGGAAAATCCCTCTTCCTGCAGGAAAAGGATCTGGGCTTCACCCTCCCAAGCAGATCCACTTTTGTGCAAAGCCATTTCATTTTCACAGTGGAAATTCAAGGCAGTGCTGGCTAAGAAACGTGGAAAGGGAAGCGATCCAGGGGCTCCTACTGAAAATTATTATTATTTTGGGGATCTGCCCAGCCCGTGCTCAGGAAGGAGCCGTGGAGCTGAGCCTGTGGGAGCAGCCCCAGGGCTGAGGCTGCTCTGTGCCACCTCATCCTCCGTCAAACTTTAAAAATAAAGCTGCCACCGCGCTGGCATCTGCCACGTCTGGGTGACAGCTGCTGCCACGCACAGAGGGCTCCTGTCACCGCTCCAACGGTGTCTGTCTGAGCAGAGAGACTTGGGAATCCTCTCCGGGTCTGAGCGGGGTTAACTCCCGTCCCCTCTGCCCCCACAGGCATCCCCCATGGGGGGCAGGAGCAGAGGGCTGGGAGGGGACAGGAGGGGACAGGAGGGGACAGGGCACCTGTAGTAGTTGGGTTTGAAAGGTCCGTTCTTGTTGAGCCCCAGGTACTTGGCCTGCTCGTCCGTCAGCTCCGTCAGGTGCGCGTCGAAGGTGGGCAGGTGCAGGCTGGCCACGTACTCGTCTGGGGGAGGGCAAAGGACTCGTCACAACCGGGCACGGAGGCCACAGCGTGTCCCCCGGGCTGAGGCACAGCCCACCTGACGTCTCTGGGAGGTGTCACCTCGGCCGAAGGTGAGGAGAAGCCAGCCCTGCCTCAAAACCCCCAATTCCCACCAAAGTGTGCCCAGGGTGGCCGTGTGCTGGGGAGGGGCTCTGCTGTGGCCCAGGGCCCCCTCCCAGCTGTGACAGTGGCCCAGCCTAGCCCAGGGCCACCTCCCAGCTGTGACAGTGGCCCAGGGCCACCTCCCAGCTGTGACAGTGACCCAGCTGGGCCCAGGGCCACCTCCCAGCTGTGACAGTGACCCAGCCTGGCCCAGGGCCCCCTCCCAGCTGTGACAGTGACCCAGCCGGGCCCAGGGCCACCTCCCAGATGTGACAGTGACCCAGCCCGGCCCAGGGCCACCTCCCAGCTGTGACAGTGACCCAGCCTGGCCCAGGGCCACCTCCCAGCTGTGACAGTGACCCAGGGCCACCTCCCAGCTGTGACAGTGACCCAGCCTGGCCCAGGGCCACCTCCCAGCTGTGACAGTGACCCAGCCAGGCCCAGGGCCACCTCCCAGCTGTGACAGTGGCCCAGGGCCACCTCCCAGCTGTGACAGTGGCCCAGCCTGGCCCAGGGCCACCTCCCAGCTGTGACAGTGACCCAGCCTGGCCCAGGGCCACCTCCCAGCTGTGACAGTGACCCAGCCTGGCCCAGGGCCACCTCCCAGCTGTGACAATGGCCCAGCCTGGCCCAGGGCCACCTCCCAGCCGTTCCAGCCCAAGAGCCACGAGGAGAAGGCGGCAGGAACATGGTTACCCATTTTTTTAGGCAGCAAGTACACGTCCTGCTTGTAGCGGCCCTCGGGAGCGTTGTACAGCTCTATCAGAGCCAGGGCCTGCGGAGAGGACACTGGGGTCAGGGGCTGCTGTCCCCCAGAGCGGGGACTGCCCCCAGCCCAGCCCAAGCCCCCCTCACCTGGGTGGTGGCCGTGATGGACAGGACGAAGGTGGGCACGGTGGAGCAGCTCAGGTTCAGCAGGCGGCCCTGGGAAGCAGAATCTGGTGTTAACAGGGCACCAAACACGGTTTGTAACCCCACAGGAGGGACAGGGACCGCTGGAGGAAGGTGTCCCAGCTGCTTGTCACCTGCAGCGAGCCCCAGGGTGTGGCTGCCCTTAGGAAGTGGAAATGTCCCCGTGGGAGATACCCTGGAGTGGGATGAGTTAAAACAAGGGGGTTTTTCTTCATCCCAGGAACCCACGGGGACCTTGTGGCTCTGCACAAGTCCCTGCCAGGAGGGGACAGCCGGGGGAGGTCGGGCTGTGCTCCAGGGAACAGGGACAGGAGGAGAGGGAACGGCCTCAGGATGGGCCAGGGGGGATTTTAGGGAAAATTCCTTCATGGAAAGGTTTGTCCAGCCCTGGCACAGCTGCCCAGGGCAGGGGTGGAGTGCCCATCCCTGGAGGGTTTCAAAGCCCTGTGGATGTGGCGCTTGGGGACGTGGGGCAGTGGTGGCAATGGTTGGACTTGATGTATTCCAAGGTGTTTTCCAACCTAAATCTGCGATTCCACGACTCCCTGAGCCAAATTCCACCCCTCAGCTGCAATTCCTGCTGCTCTCACCTCTGCCAGCAGCACGATCCTCTTCCCGTCGGGCCAGATGACGTGATCCACCTGGGACCTCACGCGCTCCCAGGTGAGCTCGGGCGTGCGCAGGCTGGCCTGGAAACGGGGAAACGTCACAGCAGCAGCAGCAGAGCCACCCCAGGAGCTCAGAAACGGGATGGGAAGAGGCAGAACCCCCTGCCAGCACCCTGGGATTGTCACCTCCCTGGGACCCAGCCCAGCCCCCAGAGTGACACCGCTGGGATGCACAGACTGGGCTGTTTGTATGAGCTCAGCACATCAAAGCTCCACCATGAGCGTCCAAGATCCGGTGAGGAGGATTCACCATCACCCCAGACAGTGTCACTCACAGTGTCACCCCAAACACCACTGCCCCAAAGCACCATCACCTCAAAATACCATTGCCCCAAATCACTCTGACCCTAAGAGTTTCCCCAAAGCATCATCACCCCAAACACCACTGCCCCAAAGCACCATCACCTCAAAACACCATTCTCCTAAAGCCCAAAACACCATTACCCCAAAGCATTGTCAGCCCAAATCACCATTACCCCAAAGCATTCTGACCCTAAGAGTTTCCCCAAAGCACCATCACCCCAAACACCATTATCCTAAAGCCCAAAACACCATTACCCCAAAGTATTCTGACCCTAAAAGAGTTGCCCCAAAGCACCATCATCCCAAACACCATTATCCTAAAGCCCAAAACACCATTACCCCAAAGTATTCTGACCCTAAAAGAGTTGCCCCAAAGCACCATCACCTCAAACACCATTGCCCCAAAGCACCATCACCTCAAAACACCATTATCCTAAAGCCCAAATCACCATTACCCCAAAGCACTCCGACCCTAAGAGTTTCCCCAAAGCACCATCACCCCAAACACCATTGCCCCAAAGAACCATCATCCTAAAACCCCAAAGCACCATCACCTCAGAACACCATTATCCTAAAGCCCAAAACACCATTACCCCAAAGCATTCTGACCCTAAAAGAGCTGCCCCAAAGCACCATCATCCTAAAACACTGTAACCCCAAACACCATCACCCCGAAACAGTCACCCCAAACACCATTCATCCCAAAACATCATTATCCTAAAATACCATTACCCTAAACGCTGTCACCCCAAAACACCACTCAAAACACCACCACCCCAAAACACTGTAACCCCAAAGCACCACCACCCCAAAACACTGTAACCCCAAAGCAGCACCACTCCAAAACACAGACCCCTCACAGCACCATCACCCCAAAACCCCGTCACCACCCCAAAGCCCCCACAGCCCCACTCACCACGTCGATCTCGGTGTTGGAGTGCCCCATGTTGCAGACAATGCAGCTGTTCTTCATCCTGTCCAGATGTTCCCTGGTCACCACGTTCTTGTTCCCTGCCAGCACCAAACCCGGATAAATTCCCAGTCCTGCCCCACCTCCGGGGCTGTCCCCCGGCCCCAGGCTGGGACGGGGCCGTTTTGGGGTGTGGATCCCCTCTCCCACCCTCCTGGCCCCGTACCTGTGCAGGTGATGACGATGTCCACCTGCCTGATGACTTCGTTGAGCTTCACCAGCCGGAACCCGTCCATGCTGAGAGCAAAAACAGGGACTAAGCGACCCCAGATCCCCATTTTATCTTCCTGATGGACCACTGGGAGTTTCTGGGGTCATCCTGGAGGGTCTGGGACATTTGTGAGAAGGGATTTTGGGGCTTTCCTGTGTCCTGTCAGGGCCTTCTCATCTGCAAACCTCAATTCTTGGCCCTGATGGGTTTTTTAGAGCTGTTCTTCCTGCAAGGAACATCCAGGAGCTGTGGATCCGCTCAGAATCCAGGTTGGGATGGATTTAGAGCATCCTAAAAAACTCCCCAAAGCTGTGGGTGCCTCTCACCACCCCAAAATCGTTATTTAGGCTCCTGCAGAACCCTCAGAGGTGCTGAGCCCCCGGCAGACCTGCCCTGCCCTTCCCAGCAAGGTGAGCTCTGGGATAACAAGGGCAGGATGGGTTTTTTTTGGGATTTGTTGACAATCCTCCCCAGAGCTCCTTCCTGTGCCTCTCACAAGCTGCAAAATCGTAGTTGCTAAAAAAAAAAAAGGCATTTTTTTCTGCTGCATGTCCCCATTTCCTGAGCTTTTTCCCCATTGCAAACTCCTCCTGAGAGGGGCCACGTGCTGCTGCTGCCTCGTGCGGGGCCAGGGAAGGGACTGCTGGAAATTCCCAGCTGAGGGTGGATGAAGAGCACAAAGCAACCCAAAAGTTCATCAGCTCTGCTAATTAGAGCTCATTATCCCCCTACCATAACACACTGGTGAGGAGCAGGCTGAGGGCTCCGGGTGTTTTGGGGTCCCACACCTGGGGATGCACAGGGAGGATCCAAACCCAGCTGTGGCTGGAGGGATCCAGGTCAGGTCTTAGGAGGGGCTCAGCCTTTTTTGGGGTGTCCCGGTGCCAGTGAGGCTCCCAAACACCCCCAGGCTGAGGTGTGGGAACAGGAATGCTCAGGAATGTGAGGGGATGCACTGCTCAGGGCAATGAGGGGCTGCTCAGGGAGCTGAGGGGATGCTCAGGAATGTGTGTGGGGATGCTCAGGAATGTGGGGGGATGCTCAGGAATGTGGGGGGATGCTCAGGAATGTGTGGGGATGCTCAGGAATGTGGGGGGATGCTCAGGAATGTGTGGGGGGATGCTCAGGAATGTGTGTGGAGATGCTCAGGAATGTGGGGGGATGCTCAGGGAGCTGAGAGGATGTTCAGGAATGTGGGGGGATGATCAGGGAGCTCAGGGGATGCTCAGGGAGCTGAGGGGCTGCTCAGGAATGTGGGGGGATGATCAGGGAGCTGAGGGGCTGCTCAGGGAACTGGGGGGCTGCTCAGGAACGTGGGGGGCTGCTCAGGAACGTGGGGGGCTGCTCAGGGATGTGGGGGGCTGCACAGGGAGCTGAGGGGATGCTCAGGAATGTGGGGGGATGCTCAGGAATGTGGGGGGATGCTCAGGGAGCTGAGGGAATGCACAGGGAGCTGAGGGAATGCTCAGGAACGTGGGGGGCTGCTCAGGAATGTGAGAGGATGCTCAGGAATGAGGGGGGCTGCACAGGGAGCTGAGGGGATGCTCAGGAATGTGGGGGGCTGCACAGCTCAGGGCAATGAGGGGATGCTCAGGAATGTGGGGGGATGCTCAGGGAGCTGAGAAGATACTCAGGGAGTTGAGAGGATGCACAGGAATGTGAGGGGATGCTCAGGAATGTGGGGGGCTGCCCAGCTGCGGGGCTGGGGGGCTGCTCAGGGGGCTGAGGGGCTGCTCAGGAACGTGGGGGGCTGCTCAGGGAGCTGAGGGAATGCACAGGGATGTGAGGGGATCCTCAGGAATGTGAGGGGCTGCTCAGGAACGCGGGGGGCTGCTCAGGAATGTGGGGGGATGTTCAGGAATGTGAGGGAATGCTCAGGAATGTGAGGGGATGCTCAGGGAGCTGAGGGGATGCTCAGGAACGTGGGGGGCTGCCCAGCTGCGGGGCTGGGGGGCTGCTCAGGGAGCTGAGGGGATGCTCAGGGATGTGGGGGGCTGCTCAGGAACACGGGGGGCTGCTCAGGAACGCGGGGGGCTGCTCAGGAATGTGGGGGGCTGCTCAGGAACATGGGGGGCTGCCCATCTCCGGGGCTGGGGGGCTGCTCAGGAAGGTGGGGGGATGCCCAGCTGTGGGGCTGGGGGCTGCTGCCCTTACCAGGCCTGCAGGGCGCAGATGGGGTCGATCTCGGTGACGTAGACGATGGAGCCCATGGCCTTCAGGGCAGCACAGCAGCCCTTCCCCACCTGCAGAGGGACAGAGCTCAGGGCACTCACACCCACCAACCCCCCCCTTGGAGCACCCCCAAACTTGGGCCTCCCTAAAAACCCCAATGGGTTTGGCCCCAGGGGTTGTTTTCCCCCAAAACATCCCAAATTCTGGAATGTACCACAATAAGAGACTCCAGTGATCCCAGGGAACATTCCAGAGCCTCCTGCAGCCTTTGCTCCACTCAGGAAGCTTTAGGGGTAATTAACCCTGGAGGGTTAATGAGCTTTAACCTTTGCCCAGCGCAGGCAGTGCAGGAATCCAGGTTAAAATGTTCCCAAAAATGTGATTACGGCAGGGAAAACGGACCCATTCCAGCTGCTGGGACATTCAAAAGGTTCCAGTAGAGCACCCACTGAACTGGTCCTGAGAAAAACTGGGAAAACAGGAATATTCCCATGTGGAGAGAGGGTGGGTGAAGGGATAAATCAAGATTAATTCTCTCTTGACCACACTGGAATGCCCAGAACATCTGCAGAACCTCTGATTTTAGTAAAATCAGATTAAATATAATATTAAAATTATATAAGTATGTGTTGCATCATTATTTGGGCACGCCAATATCCAGATATTAAAGATATGAAGAATATTTAATGTATTTTTTTTTGAGATTCAGCTTTGGCATCTCTTTAATAATAAAGAAATGAAGAAAACTTTCAGTTTTTGTCAAACTCCTGCAGTTTGGAGGGTCCTGCAGGTGCAAAGACCCGAGGGTGGAGGAAGCTGTGCTGATTTTACACAGGGAATTCCCAGTGGAAAAACGAGAAAATTGGGAAAATGGAGCCCCTTACCTCCCCATAGCCACAAACCACCACCTGCTTCCCTCCAAACATCATGTCTGTGGTCCTCTTCAGGCTGAGGAAAAAGGAAATAAAACCACAATTAAAGGTCAAAATTCCAACCCAGCACTAAGAGCTGCTCCAAGGATGGATCCCACAGCTGGATCCTGCATCCCTGAAACTCCAGGGGAAGAGAAAGCCCCAAAAGCACCTAAAAATTCCCTTTTTCTTTTGGAAGGGTGGGGGTTCTTTTGTTCTTCCAACAAAAGAGGATGGAATTTGGGTTTGGAGCCCTTTTTCTGTTGATTTTTATCCATTTACCCTTTGTTTTGACACTCCCAAGATACTGAAAATCCTCTCCAGAATGACTTTAATCTGAATTTTTGTTGTCAACCCCAAATGCCCCCCAAGGAAGAGCCCCAGGAGCAGCAGGGGAGTGGGAACTCCTTGCCAGAATCCCAAAAGCAGCTCCCCCTTCCTCTGGCTCCCTTCTGCTCCCTCCCTGAGCGTGTCCTACATTCCAGGTTATTTTTAGCTCTGGAGTAAATAGGTTAGCAGTGCAGGGAAGGTGAAATTCCCTCCTTTTTCCAGGGAAATCCACCTAAAACCCACAGCAGCTTTAAGGCACCTCTGCTCTCATCTGCCCTGACCCCGTCTTCAATTCCTGCACCAGGCTGAACCCAAATCCCAGTTTACTCTTCAAGGTGTTTCCATGGAATCCCAGGAATTTTGGGGTTGGAAAGAACCTTAAATCCCATCCCATCTAATCCCATGTCCGTGTCCATCCCACTGTCCCAGCCTGGCCTTGGACATTCCAGGGATCCAGGGGCAGCTCCAGCTGCTCTGGGAATTCTGCTCCCATATTTCACCCCCCCATTATTCCCATTCCCTGTTCCTTGGGAGAGGCTGCTGCACACCCCAAATTCACGGATTGTTCATGGATTGTGCCACAAACGATGTCACAACAAGGACAAAACCTGTCCCAGCCTCGCTCGGCCATGAAGGAATTTGGGGCTGGAGGGACACACAGTTCCATGAAAAGAAAGGGAATGAAGAGCTGGAGAGAAAAAAGGGATAAAGAGGGGAAGGAGAAAGGGCAGGAATGCCGAGTCACACAAGGGACACGGGCGGATTTTATCCACAGGGGAGAGGGACAGGACAGGAATTCTGACAGGAACCAGAGGTAGGGAAGGATTTTATTCTCCTCTGACACACGAATTGAGCTGAGATGATCCAAATGGCAGCACAGCAGGGCTCTGTGGGATTGCTCCCCATTCCCTGTGGGATTCCTCCCCGTTCCCTGTGGGATTCCTCCCCGTTCCCCCTGCGATTCCTCCCTGTTCCTATGAGGATTCCTCCCTGTTCCCACGAGGATTCTTCCCCATTCCTTGTGGGATTCCTCCTCATTCCTTGTGGGATTCCTTCCTGTTTCCCATGGGGATTCCTCCCTATTCCCTGTAGTAACTCCTCCCCATTCCCCATAGGAACTGCTCCCCCATTCCCTGTGGGATTCCTCCCTGTTGCTCCCCGTGGGATTCCTCCCCATTGCCAGTGGGATTCCTCTCTACTCCCTATAGGAATTCCTCCCTGTTCGCTGTGGGATTCTTCTCCATTCCCCATGGGATTCCTCCCCATTCCCCATGGGATTCCTCCCCGTTCCCTGTGGGATTCCCCCCGTCCCCGCGGGGTCCCCCTCACCCGTCCAGGATGGACTCCCGGCAGCAGTAGAGGTTGTCGAACTTCTGTTTGGTGACGGAGTCGTTGACGTTCATGGCCGGCACGCAGAGCTTCCCCGCCTTGGAGAGCTGGTACAGCCTGGCACGGCATGGAACGGGCATTATCCACCGGGAATCCACCCCTGCCCTCGGGGCTTTGGGATGGAAAGGGCCCTAAAGATCATCCTGGCCATGGGCAGGGGCGCTGGGCACTGTCCCCATGTCCAGCCTGGCTTTGGACATTCCAGGGATCCAGGAATTCCTCATTCCCAAAATCCCATTCATCCCTCTGGCATGGAGCCATTCCCTGTGTTCTGTCCCTCCAGCCTTGTCCCCAGTCCCTCTGCAGCTCTCCTGGAGCCCCTTCAGGACATGGAATGTGCTGGAAGCTCTCCCTGGATCCTTCCCTTCTCCAGCATCCCCCTGCTCAGCTCTGGGCACAGCCTTGACTCCCCACAGCAGGAAAATCACTAAAAATGGATTTAAACACCTCAGTGTGGCTCTTCTTTTCAAGAGAGTCTGGAAATCCTGCTCCTGCCCTTGGGAAGGAGAAGCTGCCTTTGGAAATCTCTTCTTCCCACCCTGGGATTTCAGATCCTAGAAATATCACCAATCCTTCCTTCTCCTGACCCCACTGGTGCAGAGCTGGAGCCACTTCCCCGTTTCACACATTTCATTTCCCTGTTCCAGGAGCTGCCAGAACCTCTGGCCAAGCTCTCATGCAGCTCAGAGCTTTCCCCCTGCAAGAACTCAGCAAAAAGTGCTGCTCTCCTCAGTTCCCTGCTTCCTGGCACCTGGGATGGGATGAATCCCATGGAAAAGCTCCTCTGACACCTCCCAACCCCCAGCTCTGCTCCTGCCAGGCACTGAGGGATTTCACACACTCATCTCTGAGTGAAAACAACTCAGTTCCTCTTCCCAAATCTCACCTCTTCCCACGGATTTAGGGGAGGGCTGTGCTCTGGGCTTCCTCCTCTTCCACCTCCCACCCCAAACCTGGGCACCCTCCCACCCAACAGGAGGGGCTCCTGCTGCTCCCTGGGGCTCAGAGCAGTTCCAGGTGTCCTGCTCAGGATTTAAACTGCTCAGGATTTAAACTGCAGCTTCCACAAGCCAGGCCCAGGCTGGGGGAAAAGCCGAGCTCAGCTCTGGGGACTGGGCTTTGTCCCAAACCTGTGGACCCCGGTGACGCTCTCCTCCACAATGCCCTTGATCTTCTTGAACATGTTGGGGTATTTCTTGTAGATCCAGTGGGTGAGATCTCCCCCATCATCCAGGATCTGGAATAAAAACAGCCACGGAGTCACCCGGGGCCGGCAGGAAGCCACGGAGCCGCTGCTGGAATGAAAACGTTGGAGGTGAGTGAGGAGAGGAACCCTCTGGAAAACTGCCTTGGGAAGGGCAGGCAGGAAAAACAACTCAGCCCCAGAAATCTCAGAATGCCAGGGAAAAGAGAGGTCCAAGAGTTTGGCCAGTTGTATGTGTATGGAAACACCTGGAACGGCACCCAGGGATGAAGAAAAGGCAGAAGAAAAGGAAAAAACCCAAATTTTTTCCCAGCAGGTCCCAGTGGCCTGGGCAAGGTGGGAAGTGTGAGAACTCTGCTGGATTCCAGGGAAAACAGGGAGCAGATGTCACCCAGGGGCTGCACAGGGTGACAGCACAAGGGCCACCATGAGCCTCAGAGTCACCACCATCATCATCCTCATCACCATCACCATCATCCTCATCCTTGCATATTCCATACACTGATGTCAGACTTTTCATTGTATCATCATCATCATCATCATCATCATCATCCCACTCTTTGCACATTCCCTAAACCAAAGATTTCTCACTGCATCCTCCTCCTCCTCCTCCTCCTCCTCTTCCTCCTCCTCCTCTTCCTCCTCCTCTTCCTCCTCCTCCTTTTCCTCCTCCTCCTCTTCCTCCTCCTCCTCCTCCTCCTTTCCTCCTCCTCCTTTTCCTCCTCCTCCTTTTCCTCCTCCTCCTTTTCCTCCTCCTCCTTTTCCTCCTCCTCCTTTTCCTCCTCCTCCTTTTCCTCCTCCTCCTTTTCCTCCTCCTCCTTTTCCTCCTCCTCCTCCTCTTTCCATATTCCATACACTGAGGTCAAAGACTTCTCACTTCATCATCATCATCATCTTCCTCCTCTTCTTTGCAAGTTCTCTGCTCCAAGGCAAAGAATTCCAACTGCATCATCATCCCCATCATCATCCTCATTCTTGCATATTCCACACTGATGTTAAAGACTTCTCACTGTATCATTTCCATGAAGGAAACCTCGCAGATTCCATATTTTCCAGGAAGAAAAAAAAAATCCCTTTTCTGAACCACTCCTGTCCAGAAGGAGCCTCCCCCTGAAGGTCAGAATTCCCAGAGCCATCCCATGAAGGATTCCCAGAATGGATTGGCCATGAACTGGCCCCACATCCAAGGAACAGGGAGCAATGATGGGAAAAATGAGGGTGGCACAGAATTCCCAGAGCAGCTGTGGCTGCTCCTGGATCTCTGGAATGTCCAGGGCCAGGCTGGATGTGGCTGGGAGCAGCCTGGGACAGTGGGAGGTGTCCCTGCGGAATGGGATGGGATTGAAATCCCTCCCAACCCAAACCATTCCATAATTCCATGACTGTAAAATCCCTCTCACACCCTGTTCCTCACCCAGCGTCCTGTTTCTTATCTCTAAAACCATTTATAATCATTTCTGATCTCCAAAATCCAGCAAAATCTCAGGGAACAGCTCCAAGATCCTGGTGCTCCCTCCATCATTTCCATGCTCCAGGAGCAGGTCTGGAAACAGTCCCAGGATGAAGAGATCCCGGGAAAGCCAAATCCACATTTTCTGGGACGCTGACGTGCTCCAAAAGCGGCATTTTGGATGGGAAATGATCCCTCAGAGAGCAGAACAAAGCTGCTCTCAGCTCCAGACTCAGTCTGATACCTCGGGGGTGGATTTTTTTTGACATTCCTGGTTCTTTTTGGAGGTGACAGCGACTGCAAGGGACAAAAATCCCACCTCAAACGAGCCAATATTGGCAAAAACCCAACTCAGAGCCGCGTTTCCACCTTTGATCACGTCTCATATTTAGATCAGGAGCTCCAGGGCTCAAAATCTCTGGGGAAATGTGATGAAAAGAGCACAGCTGACAGCTGAAAATGATTCTGCTCACCCAATTCCAGGTGCTCTGTTTTCCCTGGAAACAAGGGCAGGATAAAAAGGGAGCCGGGTACCTGAGGTTTGTGTGGTTTAAATTTTGGAAGCACCGAAACCAAACCTTGCCTGGTGAGATCCAGGAGATTTTAGGTGGTCTTCCCTTCCCTCTCCAGGAGGAATTCCCTATAAAATCCAGGAATTCCCTATAAAATCCAGAAGAAATTCCCTATAAAATGCAGGAGGAATTCCCTATAAAATCCAGAAGAAATTCCCTATAAATGCAGGAGGAATTCTCTATAAAATGCAGGAGGAATTCTCTATAAAATGCAGGAGGGATTCCCTATAAAATGCAGGAGGAATTCCCTATAAAATCCAGGATGAATTCCTTATAAAACGAAGTAGGAATTCTCTATAAAATGCAGGAGGAATTCCCTATAAAATCCAGGAATTCCCTATAAAATGCAGGCAGTATTCCCTATAAATGCAGGAGGAATTCCCTATAAAATGCAGGAGAAATTCTCCATAAATGCAGGAGGAATTCTCTATAAAATGCAGGAGGAATTATCCATAACATGCAGGAGGAGTTCTCCATAAAATCCAGGAATTCTCTACAAAATCCAGGTGAAAGTCTCTATAAAATCCAGGAATTCCCCATAAAATGCAGAAGAAATTCCCCATAAAATGCAGGAGGAATTCCCTATAAATGCAGGAGGAATTCTCTATAAAATGCAGGAGGAATTCTCTATAAAATCCAGGAGAATTTCCCTATGAAACCCAGGAATTCTCTATAAAATCCATGAGTATTTCCCTATGAAACCCAGGAATTCTCCATAAAATGCAGGAGAATTTCTCTATAAAATGCAGGAGAATTTCCCTATGAAACCCAGGAATTCTCTATAAAATGCAGAAGGAATTCCCCATAAAATGCAGGAGGAATTCTCTATAAAATCCAGGAGAATTTCCCTATGAAACCCAGGAATTCTCTACAAAATGCAGAAGGAATTCCCCATAAAATGCAGCAGGAATTGCAGGTGTTTCCCAACTCACCATGTTGGGCTGCCAGCCCTCGACGTTGACGCAGCGGTCGATGCACCACCAGAAATCGTCCTCGGATTCGCCCTTCCAGGCAAACACAGGGAACCCTGGCCAGGGAGGGAGAGGAGTTAAGGCAGGAAAATCCCTTGGGATCAGCTCCTGGACACTGATTTATTACTTCATGTGTTATTTGAATAGATTCAATTATTACTCAGCTTCAGCCAGCAAGACCCACAGTGGGTTTGGCTTCTTCTGGGTGTTCCAGAGCTCGTGGTCAAACCATGGCTTCAGCCAGGTGAATTCCTTGATTTTAGCCAGGTAAAATCCCTGGATTTATCCAGGTAAAACCCTTGGTATTACCCAGGTAAAATCCCTGTCGTTACACAGGTAAAACCTCTGGATTTATCCAGGTAAAATCCTTGGCCTCACCTTCGCATTACTCAGGTAAAACCCTTGCATTTAATCAGGTAAAATTTCTGGATTTTTCCAGGTAAAATCCCTGGTCTTACCCAGGTAAAATCCCTGGATTTATCCAGGTAAAATCCCTGTCATTACCCAGGTAAAACCCTTGGACTTATCCAGGTAAATCTCATGACTTTGCCAAGTTAAATCCCTGATTGTATCCAGGTAAAATCCCTGGAATTACCCAGGTAAAACCCTTGGTCTTACCCAGGTAAAATCCCTGTCATTACACAGGTAAAACCTCTGGATTTATCCAGGTAAAATCCTTGGCAATTACCCAGGTAAAACGCTTGGGTGTTATATATAATCCAAGAGGAATTCCCTATAAGATGAAGAAGGAATTCCCTATAAAATCCAGGAGAAATTCTCTATGAAATCCAGGAGGAATTCCTTATAAAATGCAGGAGAAATTCCCTATAAGATGAAGAATGAATTCCCTATAAAATCCAGGAGCAATTCCCTATAAAATCCCGGAATTCTCTGTAAAATCCTGGAGAAATTCTCTATAAAATTCAGGAAGAATTCCCTATAAAATGCAGGAGGAATTAATTATAAATGCAGGAGGAATTCCCCATAAATGCAAGAGGAATTATCTATAAAATCCAAGAGGAATTCCTTATAAAATGCAGGTGGAAATCCCTATAAAATCCAGGAATTCTCTGTAAATCCAGGAGAAATTCTATATAAAATCCAGGAGGATTTCCATATATAACACAGGAATTCCCTATAAAACCGAGGAGGAATTCCCCATAAAACCCAGGAGGAATTCCCCATAAAACCCAGGAGGAATTCCCTATAAAACCCAGGAATTCCCTATAAAATCCAGGAGAAATTCCCTATAAAACCCAGGAATTCCCTATCAATGCAGGAGGAATTCCCTATAAAACCCAGGAATTCCCAATAAACTGCAGGAGGAATTCCTTATAAACTGCAGGAGGAATTCCCTATATAAGATGAAGAAGGAATTCCCTATAAGATGAAGAAGGAATTCCCTATAAAATCCAGGAATTCTCTACAAAATCCAGGAGAAATTCCCTATAAAATGCAGGAGGAATTCCCTATAAAATGCAGGAGGAATTCATTATAAATGCAGGAGGAATTCCCCATAAATGCAAAAGGAATTCTTTATAAAATCCAAGAGGAATTCCTTACAAAATGCAGCTGGAATTCCCTATAAAATCCAGGAATTCTCTGTAAATGCAGGATGAATTCCCTATAAATGCAGGAGGAATTCTCTATGAAACCCAGGAGGAATTCCTTATAAAATGCAGGAGGAATTCCCTATAAGATGAAGAATGAATTCCCTATAAAATCCAGGAGCAATTCCCTATAAAATCCAGGAATTCTCTGTAAAATCCTGGAGAAATTCTCTATAAAATTCAGGAAGAATTCCCTATAAAATGCAGGAGGAATTAATTATAAATGCAGGAGGAATTCCCCATAAATGCAAGAGGAATTATCTATAAAATGCAAGAGGAATTCCTTATAAAATGCAGGCAGTATTCCCTATAAATGCAGGAAGAATTCCTTGTAAAATCCAGGAGGAAATCCCTATAAAACCCAGGAAATCCCAATAAACTGCAGGAGGAATTCCCTATAAGATGAAGAAGGAATTCCCTATAAAATCCAGGAGAAATTATCTATAAAATCTAGGAGAAATTCCCTATAAAATCCAATATTAATTCCTAATAAAATGCAGGACGAATTCCCTATAAAATCCAGGAGGAATTCCCTATAAAACCCAGGAGGAATTCTCTATAAAACCCAGGAGGAATTCTCTATAAAACCCAGGAGGAATTCCCCATAAATCCCACGAGGAATTCCCTATAAAACCCAGGAATTCCCAATAAACTGCGTGAGGAATTCCCTACAAATCCCGGCCCGTACCGCTCTCGGCCAGCGCCGCCGCCACCTCGTTGAGGGTGGAGTAGATGTTGCAGGCGGCCCAGCGGCACTGAGCTCCCAACGCTCCCAGAGTCTCCATCAGCACCTGCGCCAAAAACACCGAAAATCAGCACATTTGGGGTTTATTTAGGAAAACAACGGGAAAATCAGCACCAGCCCAGTTTTACCTGCAAAAAACACCCAGGAAATCAGCACCGTTCGGGGGTTTATTTAGGAAAATACCGGGAATATCAGCAAAATACACCACAAAAATCAGTAAAATCGGGGGGTTGTCTGCAAAAACGATGGAAAATCCCCTAATCTCTCAGTTTTAGGGAGTCCCACCTCTCTCTCTGTGTGTGGGTTTGTTTTAGGGAATCCCTCCTCCCCCCATATGGGGTCAGTTTTAGGGCACAAGCAGTGGGAATGCAATATTTGGGGTCAGTTTAGGGGATGAGCAGTGGGAATGCAATATTTGGGGTCAGATTAGGGCACAAGCAGTGGGAATGCCCCATTTGGGGTCAGTTTTAGGGGATGAGCAGTGGGAATGCACCATTTGGGGTCTCTTTAAGGGATGAACAGTGGGAATGCAATATTTGGAGTCAGTTTAGGGTACAAGCAGTAGGAATGCAATATTTGGGGTCAGTTTAGGGTACAAGCAGTGGGATTGCCCTGTTTGGGGTCAGTTTTAGGGGATGAGCAGTGGGAATGCAATATTTGGGATCACTTTAGGGGATGAGCAGTGGGAATGCAATATTTGGGATCACTTTAGGGGATGAGCAGTGGGAATGCCCCGTTTGGGGTCAGTTTTAGGGGATGAGCAGTGGGAATGCAATATTTGGGGTCAGTTTAGGGTACAAGCAGTGGGAATGCAATATTTGGGGTCAGTTTAGGGTATTAGCAGTGGGAATGCAATATTTGGGGTCAGTTTAGGGTACAAGCAGTGGGAATGCAATATTTGGGGTCAGTTTAGGATACAAGCAGTGGGAATGCAATATTTGGGGTCAGTTTTAGGGGATGAGCAGTTGGAATGCCCCATTTGGGGTCAGTTTAGGGTACAAGCAGTGGGAATGCAATATTTGGGGTCAGTTTTAGGGGATGAGCAGTTGGAATGCCCCATTTGGGGTCAGTTTAGGGTACAAGCAGTGGGAATGCAATATTTGGGGTCAGTTTAGGGGATAAGCAGTGGGAATGCAATATTTGGGGTCAGTTTAGGGGATGAGCAGTGGGAATGCCCCATTTGGGATCACTTTAGGGGATGAGCAATGGGAATGCCCCGTTTGGGGTCAGTTTTAGGAGATGAGCAGTGGGAATGCAATATTTGGGGTCAGTTTAGAGGATGAGCAGTGGGAATGCAATATTTGGGGTCAGTTTAGGGTAGCAGCAGTGGGATTGCCCTGTTTAGGGTCAGTTTAGGGGATGAGCAGTGGGAATGCCCCGTTTGGGGTCAGTTTAGGGTACCAGCAGTGGGAATGCCCCATTTGGGGTCAGTTTAGGGTATGAGCAGTGGGAATGCAATATTTGGGGTCAGTTTTAGGGTACAAGCAGTGGGAATGCAATATTTGAGGTCAGTTTAGGGTACAAGCAGAGGGAATACCCCATTTGGGGTTCGGGGCCGGGCTCTCACCGCTGTCTGTGCCGTGATGTGAGTGCAGCCCACGATTTTGGCCCCGGCCAGGGGCTTCTCCCCCTGAGCTCTCTTCCTCAGAGCCATCAGCGCCGGCATCTCTGCGAGGGAACGGGAAAAGGGAAACGGGGATGGGCTGGGAAGGGCTCAGGAGGAACAGCCCCCGCTGCCCCACAGCTTCAAAACAGCCAAAGCCTCGAGAGCAAACCCCAAATACATCCAAATGACCCCAAATCCCTCCAGAATTTTCTCTGTTTTGTTTAAATGTTTTCCTCCAGGAGAATCTGCTTTGGGGTGAGGATTTGGGATTTGCTGATTTGCTCCACCTCTCCAATACCCAAACCCTGCCTGGCCTTTGCTGTTTTTTTTTTCTTGGAGGTAATCAAGCTAAACCAAAATTGTGATGTTTATGGGATGGATTTCATCTTTTCTACTGATTTAACAAAATAACTTTGACCATAGAATAGTCCTTTAATAATTGGTTGGAACCCACACAGCACGACCCTGGAACTCCTTTCCCAACCCCCAAAACCCCACAGAAGCTTTCCCATCCCCCCCAAAACCCCACAGCAGCTTTCCTATAGTCCAAAACCCCACAGAAGCTTTCCCACCCACCAAATCCCAGATAAACTTTCCCATCCCCAAAACTCCACAGAAGACTTCTCGACCCTCAAAACCCCACAGCAGCTTTCCTATAGCCCAAAACCCCACAGAAGCTTTCCAAACCCCACAGAAGCTTTCCCAACCCCCAAAACCCCACAGAAGCCCCAAACGCTAAAACCCCACAGAAGCTTTCCCAACCCCCAAAACCCCACAGAAGCTTTCCTATCCCCAAAACCCCACAGAATCTTTCCCAACCCCCAAAACCCCACAGAAGCTTTCCCAATCCCCCAAACCCCACAGAATCTTTCCCATCCCCAAAAGCCCACAGAAGCCCCAACCCCAAATGCCACAGCAGCTTTCCCATCCCCAAAAGCCCACAGAAGCCCCAACCCCAAATGCCACAGAAGCTTTCCCAACCCCCAAAACCCCACAGAAGCCCCAACCCCAAAACCCCACAGAAGCTTTCCCATCCCCCAAAACCCCACAGAATCTTTCCCATCCCCAAAACCCCACGGAAGCCCCAACCCCAAATGCCACAGCAACTTTCCCAACCCTCCAAACCCCACAGAATCTTTCCCAACCCCAAAACCCCACAGAATCTTTCCCATCCCCAAAAGCCCACAGAATCTTTCCCATCCCCAAAAGCCCAGAGAAGCCCCAACCCCAAAACCCCACAGAAGCTTTCCCAACCCCCAAAACCCCACAGCAGCTTTCCCATCCCCAAAACCCCACAGAAGCTTTCCCATCCCCCAAAACTCCACAGAAGTTTTCCCAACCCCAAAACCCCGGAGCAGCTTTCCCATCCCCCAGGAAGGGGGTCAGGAGGCCAGCAGCTGCCCAGGAGGGATTTGGGGGCAGGAGGAAGGAGCCCCTTACCCTGCTCGGCGATCTCGATCTCGCGGCGCCCGAACTCGGCCTGTTTGATGTTCTTCACGCAGAAATCGCTGCTGCCCTTGGAGTTCTTCTGCTGCTTGTCCCTCGGGGAGGTCTCATCGTCGGAGCTGTCCGTGTAGGAGGCAGCTGCAGGGAGCAGGGCAGGTCAGGAATGGGGTAAAACATTCCCAAAATTCCCACGGGGAAGCGTGTGGGTGCCCCACCGAGGGTGTCCATGGATGTCCTTCCATCCCAGCTCCTTCCAAGCCCAGCTGGGATCTCTCCTTCTCCTCACAAGGGTCATTTTCCCAGCTGGATTTATCTGGGATGAATTGGTAATTCTCATCCATCTCCAACAGCACAGCAGAGGTGATGGGATTGAGCACTGCCTGCTCAAATGTTCTCCCACTTCTCTTCCCAAATGTTCTCCCATTTCTCTTCTCCCAAACGTTCTCCCACTTCTCTTCCCAAATTTTCTCCCACTTCTCTTCCCCCAAAAGTTCTCCCACCTCTCTTCCCAAATGTTCTCCCACTTCTCTTCCCCCAAAAGTTCTCCCACCTCTCTTCCCAAATGTTCTCCCATTTCTCTTCCCCCAAAAGTTCTCCCACCTCTCTTCCCAAATGTTCTCCCATTTCTCTTCCCCCAAACATTCTCCCACCTCTCTTCCCCACAGTTCTCCCACCTCTCTTCTCAAACGTTCTCTCACTTCTCTTCCCCCAAAAGTTCTCCCACTTCTCTTCCCAAACGTTCTCCCACTTCTCTTCCCCCAAAAGTTCTCCCACCTCTCTTCCCAAATGTTCTCCCATTTCTCTTCTCCCAAACGTTCTCCCACTTCTCTTCCCAAACGTTCTCTCACTTCTCTTCCCCCAAAAGTTCTCCCACCTCTCTTCCCAAATGTTCTCCCACTTCTCTTCCCCCAAACGTTCTCCCACCTCTCTTCCCAAATGTTCTCCCATTTCTCTTCCCCCAAACGTTCTCCCAGCTCTCTTCCCCCAAAAGTTCTCCCACTTCTCTTCCCCAACGTTCTCCCACTTCTCTTCCCCCAAAAGTTCTCCCACCTCTCTTCCCAAATGTTCTCCCATTTCTCTTCCCCCAGAAGTTCTCTCACCTCTCTTCCCAAACGTTCTCCCATTTCTCTTCCTAAAAGTCCTCCCACCTCTCTTCCCAAAATTCAGGCCTCCACAGCTCCAAGACATCCCACAAAATGCCTGCTGAGGTTTAGAGCCCTTCCAAGCCCAGTAGGAATTGTAATTTCAGACCCTCTTGCATCCCAGACAGTCACGGGGAGGGTGTGAGTTGATGATTATCCCGTTACTGTGGGATTCCCAATCCTTGGGTTTGCTCCATTTTGGTGAATTAGACCACAGCAGACACATGGAAGAGCCCTTCACGGAGTTAGAAATCCCCTTTCCTGTCTGATTCCTAAAATCCCACGCACTTAAATAAAATCACATCCATTTTTGATTTGAGTCACGATGGATCAACCACCATTTTGGATCAGCTGAAGGAATCCTTTGTGCCACATCTTCTGGAATTCGGATTTCGGATCGCGCCACGTTTTTGGTTTCTCTGGAATCTCTCCCTCACTGTGGGAAACCAAACCTCTTCTTCCATCTTCCAGGACTGGCAAAGCAATGCAATGAGCTCCAAACCCCAGCTCCTCTTTCCTCTCCAGGTGACCCTTCCAGGACCCAACTGGCCATTCCTCATGGACTTGTTCTGCTCCAAGCCCTTCCTCTCCAGCTCATGTGGTGCTTGTAAAGCAGACCTGAGGCCTGGAATCCAACAATTTGCTCCACCCCACAGGAATTCCATGGTGGAAAGACTCCATCCATGTTGGCCCTGCTGGAGCTGGCCGGTGTTTTGGATCGCCAGGAATGATGGACACGGTGATGGATACTCCTCCTTCCACATCCCCACAGGCCTCTGGAACCCAAAGGTGCTGCTACGGTCAAGATTCCCAGTTTCCACCCCAAATCTGCGCCAGGGGAATGGGGAAAGAAGGAAGGAGGGAGGTTCTCGCAGTGCTGACCCCACCAGCATTCCTGGAGAGCCGCAGCATTCCAGAGGTATCCAGGCCTCGAGTGGGGATGGATTCCAACAGCTCCTTCATTTATTCAGAGCAAATCAAACAATCTTCTACCCTGATCAGCTCCAGTGACATTCCCACACCGAAAACCCCAAAAAAAGGTGTTAAAGTGGTTATGGGGTTGTGTTTCCTGCAGGACCCAACAAACTCCACACTTTCCCTCCTGGCTGGCAGGAAGGGTTTCAGGATTCCAAGGAAAAAGCTCAGCCCTGGCTCCCGATCCCAGGGAATTAGGAGGGAATTAGGCATTGCTGGAATTTCTCCCCATCCTCGGCAGGGGGTGAAGGGCGAGTCCCACCTTGTCAACAACCCCCGAGGGCAGTGGGGTTCCCGCTCCGCTCCCGATCCCACAGAAGATCCCAAAGGACCAGGAGCCCGAATTAACCACCAAGGGCACCTTATAGAAAACCAAGCTCTACATCAAGGGCTCCAGGAGGGAGGATTAATTAGTTGGAGGAGGATTAGTTCCTTGAAGAGAGTTAATCTGTGTAGAGGTTGATTTGAAACCAGGGAGTTTTGGTTCTGGGGGTTAAAAGTAATTTTTTTGAACAAAAAAAAAAATCCTGCCTAGAGGCGCCAGATTTTCATAGGCAGGAGGTTTTATGCTATTAAATAAATCTAAAATGTAGACGTGTACATATAATTACGGTAATTAAATGGATGCTGTTAGTTAATATAACAGCAAACCAAATCTCTAAAAGTCAATTTTGCCTTTGCTGTTCTGTAAAATGAAGAACAAGGACTGAAAGGAAAGGATTCCTGTCATTAATTGATGGGACAGTTTCCTAAAAATATTAATGAAAACTTCCTCCCTGGGCTTGGTATTCTGTGAGCTATGGAAAATTGAAACACAAATTGGATTATCTGTGTTACGTGCTTGTATCTCTGTCCAGAAAGGTTGAGGATTCCACATCCCTGGAAGTATCCAAGGTCGGAGAAGGCTTGGAGCAGCCTGGGACAGTGGGAGGTGTCCCTGCCCATGGCAGGGGTGGCACTGGGGGGACTTTGAGGTCCCTTCTGACCCAAACCATTCCAGGATTCCATGATTTCTATTATTAGTGTATTACTTGCAGATTATTGGGCTCCATGATCCATGTGGGTCCTTCCCAACTCAGGATATTCCACAATTCCGTGGTTTCCAAGAGAATGACATAAAAGCAGCAGGTCTCAGGAGACCTCCATCCATGTTGTGCCACAGCAAAGCCCAGGTCAGAGCCTAAACTCAGCCATGTCTGGCCTTACTGAGGTTTGAGGTGAGGGTCCCTCATGGCTGCCTAAATTGGCATCACTAAGGGCAAAAAAGAGGGAGCCTGAGCCTGTTACAAACCCCAAATAAGGACAAAACTGGTTAATTCCCTGTAAAACCTTCAAAAATATGAACCAGCAGCAGGATGAAGTCAGCAGCCTGGAACTCCAGATATTCCTGTCCTTATCCCACCCTCAGAACCTGCCTGTGGTGGGTAACTCACAATGTTGAGCACTTGGGTCATCCAGGCTGGGCTGACCTAAAAAAATCCATCCATCCATCCATCCATCCATCCATCCATCCATCCATCCATCCATCCATCCATCCATCCATCCATCCATCATCCATCCATCATCCATCCTGGGAACTTAAGTCCTCCATCAGGAATGCCAGTTTTGCTCCTTTCATTACAGGAAATTAACATTTCCATGAGATAATTAACTGCAATTCTGATGTTAATTGCAAGGAGAGGAAGAGAATTCCCCAACGTTGCTCCAAGTCCTTCCAGCTGTGACCTGGGAACGAACATGGTGACACCAGCCAGGACAAGCAGACTCAGAGTCGGCAAAAATAGTCCCAGAATATTCCCAGGTGCTCCAGGATCAGATGGGAGTTGTGGATTCCAAACAGAGCCTGGGCTGATGTGCCTCTGGAGAGAGCTCGGCCTGAGCATTCCTGAATTTCTCCCTTTTCCACGGGAATGCAGTCAGTGCCCGCAGGACGGGTCACCCAGGTGGTGCCCAACCCTTGGGGGGCTCATCCCAACCTCTGGAGGAGACTTTGGAGGTTGCTCCAAGCCTGCAAAGCAGCAGGAAGGAAGCAGCAAGCCGGAACAGTCGGCATTCCCGCAAAAACCGGGATGAAGCCATGGGACTGTGGTGTCCAGGATCAGATGAGAACCTTCATCTTCTGGAGATGAGCTCCTCTGCCAGGAGCTGAGTGACCAGACAACCACGGCTTTTCCAGCTCTGCTCTCCCAAACCTGCTGAGGACTGCCAAGAGCTCCAGCCCGGTCCAGCGACATCCTCGGCATCGTGGGAATGAGTGGAGAAGCACCAAGGAGAGTTCCCAGTGAGGAGGACAGCCAGGTCCGTGTGCAGCCACCAGCCATGAGCCATCAGGAGCAGCTGGAGCCGGAGTTTCCTGAGGTTTTCCAAACTTGCCAGAACTGAATCAGAGCTTTGAACCTCTAGGCCAGGCTGGATGAGGCTTGGAGCAGCCTGGACTCATGGAAGGTGTCCTTGACCACGGCAGGGAGGTGGAATGAGATGAGCTCTAAGGTCCCCAAAACCACCCAAATTCTCCCCAAATACACCATGAGCTGCCAAGTATCCCAAAAATCCATCCAGCAAGATTCCAGCAGGAGAGACCCCTTCCAAGAGCCCTTCCAACTCCCTGAAGACTCCAACCTCAGGTGCAACAAACCTACAGTGGGATCCCCATGGATTTGTGATGCTCAAGCAGGAATAAAGTATGGAAACACTTTTCCTGGGAGGAACAGGACAGGGAGGAAGGGAATGGAAGGGAAGCCAGCAGCAGCTGCACGCTGGGGTTATAAGGAGAATCCAGAATAATTTAATTTTCCATCTATCCATACAGGACAAGGAGGAAAAAAACAAAAGCCTATTTCCATGTGTTCCCTCTGCCCCCAGAGCAGGTGTGGGAGATCCTGGACACACCTGAGCTGTAGCTGTCTGTCGAGGACTGCGAGATGGAGCGGGACAGTGACCGGCGGCCGATCTTGGTCGGGCGCTTGTTGAACTCCTGCTTTTGGTCAGCAAACTGGATCTGTGGAAAGAAATCAGGGATTTTCTGTAAAAAACCCAACAGATCAACCCCAAGAACCCAAAGCCTTGAGCAGACACCGGCACATCTCAGTCATGGCTCGGAGCACAATTCCTGTTATTTAATGGGGACTGGATATGCTAAATTGCCCATTTTGTTTAATTTCAGTCCCTCCAGCCAAGATTAGAGATGTAACTCCAGGCTGTTGAATTTTGGGAGCACAGATGGCTGGAGAACACAAGTTTTTAGGACGACACCAGATCAGGGAAGGGAAAATCCACACCAAACTCAAGTTACAGCCAGTGCTGTGCTGGGATTAACGCCCTGATCCCGGCGGGATGGGGGCTTTGCACACACACCAGGGTTTATGTTCCTCCTTTAAGAAGTTGCTGGCCTGAAATAACTTCCCTTTTTTGTCCTTTTTCTTCCCTTAATTTAGAACAAATCCCTCCACGGCTGAGCAGCTCCATTGCAGGAGGAGGTTACTGGCGTGAAGTGGAGCTGGAGACACACAGGGATTCTAACAAACGGGGAATAATTTGGGTTAAATTCACTTTTTTTTCCCCCACATCACCTCTTTAAGGACATTGAACACAACTTTTCACACAATGCAATGATCTTGGTAGTTCAGAGCTCCCTGAGCTCTCACACATCCAAAACCAAGTAAACGACGAAGCAGAAGAAGTCCTGAACCGAATCAGGCAGAATTAGAACCAGACTTAAATAAAACCTTTAAGGTTTAAACCCCTTAAATATGGCCACAAGCTGGGCTCAGCTTTAGCTGAGACAGCCAGGAGGTGGAAGGAAGCAAAAGGAAAGGGAAATTCGGGAAGGGGCCAGGTCAAGGCTTGGATCTGCTTTTGGCTTGTGCTGGCCGAGGTCCTTTGGGTTTAATCCTTTAGGGAACAGAGAGAGTGGGCAAAAAGGGAATTTCACAGAGTCCCGGAATGGTTTGGGTTCCACAGGACACCTTCCCCTACCACAGGCTGCTCCAATCCCTGCCAAACTCACAAGAGCCATGTTCCAGCCCGGCTGGGAAGACGAGAATGTTCCAGATGGGATGAAAAGAGAGATTTGGCTCCAGGCTGAGCTCGGTCAGCTCCCACCAGAACAGCTCTGAAGACAACAGCTCCAAGGAGAAGCTGTGGAGCCTTGGAGAGCTGCAGTTCCTTGGATTTAGGAGCCCGAGCTGCTCTGAAGTGACACAGGAGCTCCTGCTTTCAACTTCCAGCAGGAACAAACAATTCCTACTGGAAAACCTCACCTGCAGGGGCACAAGGGGTTAATGCAGGTGAGGTTTCACCTTTACATTCCAAATGAGCTCATCTGACCTGGGGTTTCCATCACAAAGAGCCACCTTGAGCTACTCCTCCATGCAAAAAAAGGTCTCCTTATCCAAGGTTTTCCTGGAAAACTTCCCCACGCTGACCCCACCAACTCCTCCAGACAGAAGAACAACCCCAGAGCAACGTGTTTGCCTCACTCCTGAGAGAAAATTAAGATAAACTCTCCAGAGATTTGGATTTTCTCCAGCTGAGGAGCTCCAGGAATAAGTGACTGGGTGGAAACAGCGAGGGAAGGAGGAAGAAGAGAGAGGTAACAGAGAAACAATCGCGTTTTTGAGCAGAAAAGCCGTAATTATGGTCCCAAAGCGTGCCCTCACCTGGGCTTTCATGCCCGTTGACTGCCCGTTGACGTTGTATTTCTTCTTGTTGGGCATGGTGGCCTCGCTGGCTGCCCCCGGGCACGGCTCCCTCGGGAGCAGGGAATGCCCCATTTATATCCACCACCCCATCCCCATCCCGCTGATCCTGCCCGCTCCGGTTTCACCGCAGGCGGAGGCAGCCAGGGCGGGAACAAATTGGGATTTTCGGACTTTTTTTTTTTAGTTTTTGCATTTTTTTTTTGGCAGATCCCAGGACTTAATGAGGTGTCCCCACAAACAATTCCTGCCTGTGTTTTGTGTGGAATTACAGCGTTCCCTGACCTCCGGAGCTCTGTCGCGGCAGTTTTGAACGTGGCCTGGCTGGTGTGTGCATAACAATGCCTTATTTATGTAACCAGAACATTTCCCTGCTCGCTATAATTAACTCGCTAATTAAGCTCCTTTAACTCGGGCCCTCCCCTCCCCACTCTCCCTCTTTCCCCCCCAATGTCAGATGACTGCGTTAACGGAGCCTCGTTAGAAGGAAATTAACTAATGAGCAACTAAAACAACGGGGGCGTTTGTTGGATGGCAAAGTGGTTTTTAATTATTATTATTTTAATTATCCTGCCCCTTGCTGCGTCCCCCATGGCAACCAGGGCAGAGTTTGTCCTTGGAAGGGTCCAGACTCCAACATCCATCCCTGTGTTGTTCCAATCCTTTGGGAATTATGGAATCATGGAATGGTTTGGGGTTGGAAAGGACCTTAAATCCCATCCAGTTCCACTCCACATCTCCCACCATCCCAGGTTGCTCCAGCCTTGGACATTTCCAGGGATGGAGCAGCCACAGCTTCTCTGGGTAGGATGTTGAGGGGCTTTTATGGGAATTATCTCAGGTAATAAATTATCAGGGATAAAACTCCTTGGATAAAAATTCCAGGCACTAAATGAGAATGAAAATTATTGTCCTGCACAGCGTCTGCTCGTTCCACAGCCTTTTAGGTGGGAAGAGATTATCCAAGGAAGAAAAAATGGGAAAAATGAGGCTGCCAGAGGTTGGTGGGGCTTTGAGGTCTCCTCCAACCCAACCCATCCTGTGATTCCATCCTGTGATTCCAAGGAAAAGGGATCTGGGAAGCAGCAGGGCACAATTGATTGTCCTCAGCACCAATTCTGACTGAATATGGAACTAAAAAGCTCCCCCAGCCCTGATTCTTTCCGTACACCGAATTTACACCAGATTTACACTGGATTTACCCCAGGTTGGATCTGACCCTGCTCCTCTCAACAGTTGTCCCAAGGATGGAAAATGCTGCCAGGGAAAATCCCTTCCCCAAAATGTTCCTCCCATTTTCCCTCTCCAGGGCAGATTTCAAGGAATTCACTAAAAGAGCAAAAAATTCCTGAGCTATATGAAAGCAACTCCTGGAGGAATGGATGGGAAAAAAAAGAAAGGAGGGAAATCCCCCCCAAAATTCCTGAGTTGTACAATGACTGAAAAATGTGAGAAATGGAAATCTGAATTATTTCCAGTGTGGAAATATCTCAGGGAATAAGAAGCTGGGATCAGCGTTGCTTTTCTCACTTGACATTGCAGCCCAAGTTGTGTTTTCCAGGTAAAGTTTTCATTTCCCACATTATCCATGAATCTTCTCCTGCAAAATCCTAAGGGAGACAAGACTTCAGCTCAGTGTAAAACAACTCAAAGCCTTTAAAGGGGTAAAAAACTCATTTTATGGTAACACCAAAGCACAAACTCCTTTTCCAGCAGGTTTTCACACCAAGTTACTTAAATCCAAAGGCTTTTCCTGGGAAAAAAACCCTTTTTTTCCTCAGTGAATGTCTGGTCCAACACATTAAAATTAAGAACAAATATTCAATAAAAATGCTAAAAATAAAAGATTTTGCTTCATCTCCACCCCAGAGCTCAGGAATATTCTGTAATTTCTCTGCCAATCTGGGTCAGTCAAATAAAACCAGAGAGAACTATGCTAAATCCCAGTAAATTGTTTTGTTCTGAGTGTCTTTAATTGATTCTTGGCCACGGATATTTGTTATTTTTTGGGAACAAAGGGAGAAAACAAGAGTTTTCTGAGGGGTTAAGCGGCACAAGCTATCCAGCATTGCTGGAGCTTCCAAATCCACCTGCCAAGAACTTGGGAATTCAAATTTCCGCATGGAATGAATTAAAATCCATCATTTTATGGATAGAACAGCAGGACAAGGCGGTGGCCTTGAAGAACTGCCACTGCTCGGTGACAAACTTGCTGGGAAGTCTTTTCCCAGTGGAAAAACATCTCATCCATCGATGATGCAGAGATATAAAAACAATTTATGTATTTTTTTTAAATAAAGAAGGGTGAAGATTTTATATTTTCACATTCTGAGCTGCTTTAGTGTGCGGGTCTGGGCTTCAATTATGGGATGGTGAGCTCTGTGCACAGAGCAGGGAGACAAAACAATTCCTGCTCCAGCTGGGCACCAAGGACAAATGATCCAAATCTCAGCCCAGGAGCACAAACACCGTGGGCTGGAGAGAGAAAAACAAGCAGGGTGGGACTGCCTGGGCTAAAGCTGGAATGGGACAATGAACTCCAAGGTGCCAATGGAGCAGAACTGATCCCAGGGAGAGCCCCCGGGAGCGCTCGTGCATTTTGGGGCCATTTTGGGTCATTTGGGTGCAGCCCTGGCTGGGCTCTGGTGCTGCCCAAGGTGGATCCATGGAGGAGATACTTTCCATAATTCCAGAATTTATTCTTTAGCTCTGCCCAGCCTCTGCTCCAGCTCAGCCTCCACAAGTGCTGGATCATGGAATGGTGGAATTCTGGTTGGAAGGGACCTCAGAGCCCCTCCAGTGCCACCCCTGCCATGGCAGGGACACCTCCCACTGGCCCAGGGGACTCCAATGTCCAGCCAGACCTTGGACACTTCCAGGGATCCAGGGACATCTGACAGAGAATCCCTTGGAATTGGTGGGAGCAGGGAGGAGAAATCCTTCAAAGGAGAAAACAGCAAACCCCTGACCCAGGCACTTCCAGTGGGGACAACGGGAAGGACAAGGAAGAGAAAAATCTCCTCCCTCAGCAGTGGAATGGGTCCCCTGGGCCATCCCAGCTCTGTTGGCCACAACCCCACAAAAAGCAGGAAAACCAGGAAACTGCTATTTCCACATTGCCTTAACTTGCTACAAACAGGCCATGGGTGTTTTATAATTGGGAAATGTGGGATCTCAGCAGCTGGAGCTGGAAAATCCCTGCGGAGTCACCACCTGCCAGGACACCTCATCCTGAACCAGCATCCCGTGGGATCCCACAGTTCCTCCCACGGAGCCCTTCCAGGATTGCTGAGGGTGTTCA